TAGGGTTAGGGGTGTGCCCCAGGTTAGGGTTAGGGTTAGAAAAAGGAGGTGTCCTGGCATGGATCTGATGGTTGGAATGCGCTTAGAATGGGCAGAAATGTTGAGCTGTGCCGAAAAACCCTCTCAAAGGAGGCTTTTAAAAAATCGCATGATCTTCAGTGGAACTTGATCCCTATTTTAGGGTTATGGTTGTGCCCCAGGTTAGGGTTAGGGTTTTAAAATCGAGGTGTCCCGGCAGGGTTTTGATGTTGGGGATGTGTTTAGAATCGGCACGTGCGTCACGTCGCCCCAGCGTTGCCCTAGGAGCTAAGCACAGGACAACGGTGTGCATTTCGGCTGTGCACATGCCTGGGAAGGAGTTTCTTTGCCAGCCAGTGTCGTCTTGTGTTGTGACTCATTCGCCACAACTCATTCCAGGCATCGCATTGCCAGTCAGTGCACTGCCAAGGATATATTTTTTTTCTTGTAGTCGCTGTGATTTGTTATTTCCAAACTAAGACCTCAGTTTTCTGGTTTTATTGCCTTGTTGGCACTTTGCAAGGAATAAGAGGGTATCGGGGTGCCGTTTGGGCACTCGGTCTCTAAAAGGTTTGCCATCACTGCCCTCGAGCCTCCCACATGGATCCGAAGTAGTGAGTAGTTCTCCTTTTGGCTAAGGGGTCCCAGTCCGCATCCACCTGCCTTCCTGCGCTCGTTTTCAAGGGCTGCTCCAGGACCCCGCGTGCTGACGGAGAGCCCTGCCCCGCGGCCGAGAGAGCCCCTCGGAGCGGGGAAGGGAGTTCCCAGTCAATGCCCCGTTTCTCTTCCGGCCTTCCCTCAGCGGGAGAACCGGCGCTTGCAGGAAGCCAACATGCGGCTGGAGCAGGAGAACGACGACCTGGCCCACGAGCTGGTGACGAGCAAGATCGCCCTGAGGAAGGACCTGGACAACGTAAGTGCTGGCCGGCGCGGGCCGGCGGGGTCTTGGCAGCCCTCTGTCACCGCCGCCCCTCCTCTGGGTGCGTGTGGGTGGGGGGCTCCGGTGCCTGCCGTGTCCTCTGCGGGGGGTGCGGAAGCTGCCCCTGCCCGCGAGAAGCTTCGTACTCCTAGAGCAGGCGGGCCGGAAGGGGCCGAGGAGGCCCTGCTTGCGCGGGCCCCCATCACGGCATCCCACCCCCATGCCTGCCCAGTGTGGGTGTGGGTGTCCCTTGAACGGGAGAGCCCAGGCCTGTCCTCGGGCAGTGAGGAAACGTTTCCGGGCGTCTGGCCCGGATCTGGTGTGCGGTTGTGGACGTGTGCTCAAGGGGACAGAGGCTGCCGGCCTGGACGGGCGCTCGAGGACAGGCCGCAATGGGCCCTATGTGTTTCCTGTTCCAGGCAGAGGAGAAGGCGGACGCCCTGAACAAGGAGCTGCTGATGACCAAGCAGAAGCTGATCGATGCGGAGGATGAAAAGAGGCGCCTGGAGGAGGAGGCTGCTCAGGTTCGGGCCAGGAGGGGCAGGAGGGAGTTGGGGGCCGCCTCCCCCCATGTGGCCTGTTTGCAGTCTGGGCTGGGCCAGGCGCATCCGGAGTCCGAGGCCCTCCGAGCCAGGGGCTTTGGCCGCAGAAAATCCCAGCTTGCAGCTCGCGTGACACGGGAACCTCCCGGAGCAGCTTTGCCCCGCTGGCGCTGCCCGGGGGCTGGAGGATTCTGGGAGTTGCATTGCGAGGGCTGTGGCTTCCCATCAGCTGGCCCCCTTGTCCTTAGCCAGGACTCGCCACATTCTGCAGGGCTTGTCCTGGCCTTTCCTCCCCCTCAGGATGGTATCACCAAAGGAGTCAGCCCCCAGCCTGGGAAGCAGCCCCAGGCCCCGGTGCTGCTCTCTGAGGGGCCGGTGGGGGGGACGGCCCATCCGCAGCCCCCCATGACCGGGCCCCTCTCCCATCCTCTCGGTCGCAGCTCAAGGAGATGTGCCGGCGAGAGCTGGACAAGGCCGAGTCGGAGATCAAGAAGAACAGCTCCATCATCGGGGACTACAAGCAGGTGAGCCCCGTCCGAGGCTTCCGTGGGCTCTGCCTTGAGACCACTGGATCCGTGGCCTCGGTGCCGGCTGCCCCAACTTGGAGTGGGCTCCTTGCTGCCGGAGCTGGGGTCCCTCTGACGCACTGGCACGCAGCTCCCACCCCTGTAGGTTCGACGGGGCAGCAAGCGGCAGCTGTTTTCTGCAGCCTCCCTCTCCGCCCCTTCGTAATGCCCGCGCTTCGGCCGCCGCATCCCTGGGGGACCAGGGGAAGGACCGCAGGGTGGCTCGGTGGCTCCAGGAGGGAAGGGCAGACGTCCTGGGAGGAGAGCTCTCCCCGGCGCTCCGGCGGGACGCGTGGGTGAGGGCGCCTCCGGCGGCTGAGCTCTGCCTGTCTGTGCAGATTTGCTCCCAACTGAGCGAGAGGCTGGAGAAGCAGCAGCTGGCGAACAAGGCCGAGATCGAGAAGATCCGGGTAAGGGCCGGTGAGAGCAGGCACTTGTGCCTACGCCCAGGGCAGCCCCCCCCAGGCCCTTGCCCCGGGGATTTCTGGGGGCTTCTTTCACAGCCATTGTCCCAACTCCTTCCACACTCCTCTGAGTCCAGAAGCCCCCCCCCCCCCGAGTCATCGCAGGAAGGCAGGGGTCTTTGTGGTAATTTTGGTGGGAGTAACTTTAACATCAGCCTCCCAGGCAGATTCTCCTTTGAATGAGGGAGCCGGACAGAGACTGCAGCCGGATGCCCATCGTTGCGAATGTCAGCAGAAGGGGGAACATGGGGGTGAGCCCCAGGCAGTTCTGCCGGAGTGGGGGGCCTGCACTGGAATCTGGGGTGGGTCCTTGAGAGGGTGCAGGGGGATTTGAACCCCACCCGCCCGCAAAGGCAGCCCTCCAGAAATGGGCGGGAGGCGCTAATTTCGAGTCCGTGGCCGCCTCCTCCTGGCAGAGGGCAGGGGCTGCCAGCTGCCAGATCGGGGGGCGCCGAGTGGGAGCTGTGCTGCTGTGGGGCGCGTCACGCCCGGGGGCCGCTGACCGCCTGCCCCTCCTGCCCGCAGCAAAAGGTGGAGGACTGCGACCGCTGCCGGGAGCTGTTCAGCAAGGAGGGGCGGGTGAAGGCCGCCGGCGTGGCCCGCGAGGGCGCCGACGAGGAGCCCAACGAGGAGCGGGAGGCCCTGTGCAACCAGCTGCGCGAGATGGAGCTGGAGCTGGCGCAGACCAAGCTGCAGCTGGTGGAGGCCGAGTGCCGGATCCAGGTGGGCCGGATCCCTAACCCTAACCCAGGCCGCGATGAACCCCGGGGCGCCCCCTGCCGCTCGCGTTTCGCCCAGGGGCCTGGGAGTGCTGCAGAAAAGCTGGGGAGGGGGCCAGAAGGGCCCTTCACGGTTTGTACCCAGCAGGTGCAAAGGCACCGCAAGCCAAGCGCGGGGAGCCCCAATGCTGTCCGGCGGGGCCACCTCCACGTGCTTCTGCCTCCCTGGCTCGTGCATGCCAGCTTTTAGTCTCGGATGTGGAGCCCCCTCGCCCCCTCGGCCACCCGAGTTCCGGCAGCAAGAGCAGTGGCTTTCCAGTGTGTTGTGCGCCTCGCCCAGGAGCCACTGCGGCGTTTGGCCCGTTGGACTGGGGCCCTCCCTTCCCAATAGATCTGCGACCGTCAAGTCCGCTTTTCCAGCTGCAGGGGAAGCCCTCAGAACAAGCCGGGCCGTCTCGGGGCCCCGCGGGCGACTTGCACTGCAGCTCCCATCGGTCTCCGCCAGCGGGGCTGATGGGCACCGCAGCCCCAAGCCCCCGCTGAGGAAGGTGGGATAGAATGTGGGTGGCCCACCGTAACGCAGCAGCAGCCCCTTCCGCCCGGCCCATCCCCCGGGCCCTCGGGGCTGACCCCGCACCCTTGCTCGCTTGCAGGACCTGGAGCACGACCTGGGGCAGGCGCTGAATGAGGTGCAGGCCTCGCGGAAGACCTGGTTCAACCGCACGCTCAGCTCCATAAAGACGGTGACGGGGGTTCAGGGGAAGGACACGTGCTGAGCGGGCAGCCCCCGCGGACGCCTTCTGGTGCCCCCTGGCCGGACGCCGTGCGGGGAGAGGACAGACTGTACATAGACACAGGAAACACAGCAGCGCATGCCGGGGCTCGTCCACAGGTCAGTGGCCCAGGCCGGATGCGCCGCCCACGCCGTGGGGCTCGTGGCAAGACACGGGGTCTTCATACTACTGATTATTTAACCGGGGGGATGTAGCTGTAGCCCGAAGTTCTTTTCGGAGGAAGATTAAAACACTCCATTCTACAGTCTGGCTGGAGGCATTTTGCAGGCCGCGGTACGACAACTTACCCAAACCTCTAACTTATTAAGTTTACAGATGAGATTTTTTTACAGTTAGGACTTTTTAAAGATTTTATTTGAAAGGAATAGGGAAAAATTAACTCTTCTTCAACAAGAAGCTACTTCCATGCTGGAGACCAGGCCGTCGTCGTCCCCCGCCCCGCCTCGGCCAGCAGGGAGCGCGCGGGGTCGTCTCTGGAACGGGCTCTCCTCCTCCAGGTGTGTGCGCATCTACCTTGGTCCCTCTCACGTCCAGCGTTTCGTTCTGTCGCTAATCAATTCTATGCAACTTGGGGGCGGGGGACCCTCCTTCCCCTCCCCACTTTTTAAAGCACCTGTCCTCAGAGACTGCCTGCCCAGCTCCACAGAAAAGGCCGGGGCTAGCCAGACCATTCCAGACCCGCACAGTTCATGCCCCCCTCCCCGTTGTTTCGGGAAGATTTCGTTAGTGGAACGTCACTCCCCTTGCGGTCGGTGGCGCCAACGTGTCCCGTGGGGTCCGCTGGCCCCTGGGCTCCCCCTGGCCGGGGGTCCAGCCCAAGCCCTGCTCCAGAGCAGGGCCTTTGTACTTGATTTCCAAGCATTAAGTATTATGACCTCGATCTCTTCATTAACTCCTCTCTGCTTTTGCACGGGCGATTCTGCTTCCGGGGTTCTTTTTTCGTTTTGCACATAGACGGGAACGGGACAAAAGCAATTCGGGCAGGGGGCACGTGAGGAAGTGCCCCCTCAGCCGCTGCCAGAGGCGGCTCTCTGTCCGCACTCGGGCTCGCCCGCGCTCGGCGGCTCCGGCTGCTGGGTGGCGCTCGCTCGGCCTCCTCCCTGCCCCATGCTTCTCATAACCACACTGGTAGGTACTAACACTGCTTGGATTTCTGAGCGCTTAGATAATCCAAAACTTCTCACCAGAAAAGCTGTAGAATGGAAGGTTTTTGCACCTTTGTATTTTTTTTAATTTATACTGGTTTGTGCTATGCTGAAATAGCTATTGTTCTCAGCAGATAAACTTTTATTGTGTGCAGCGTGTGTCATAAGCTGGTTACAATAAGAGGCACTGGTTTGTATATAAAGATAATTTGTATTTCTACGTTATTTTTCTTGTTGACCAGACTAATGCTAGCTAATGCAACCTGAGAAGACGAGAGGTGAGGCCACGTGGTGCCCAGCTTTTAGGATTTCTCTTCTCCTTAACTGTGTACATGAATATCTTTATTGTTTAATAATACCAAAAATCATACCGTAACTCCATCAATACTAGACGTGTGGACATTGTAATAGAATAGTTGCAGTGTGTAGACCTTTGATTGATATATAAACTAGTAAAATTGTATTACTATTTCCCATTGTCCCATTTCATCTTTGGGTGGCAGTGTGATCCGCACCATTTGTCCCTTCACACAAAAATCCGGAGGCATCTTGGCGTGACCGGCACACGGAGCAGGCCTTCTGGGAAGTCGCTCGGTTCGTCTGGCTAAGAGCCGGCTGCGCTGCCCGGCTGGGCCCATTTCCAGCCCTTCCCGGAGTTGCTGGCAAGCGAACTCTGGCCCCCTGCCTGCAGGGCTACTGCCCTCCCCAGGGCCGCGGGACCCAGATGCCCCAGCCAGCCTGCTCCTGTCAGGCGTGGGCCGCTCTGGAGAGCCACCTACCTTGGCGAGCAAGGCCTGCTGGCTTTGCCGGAGGGCAGCCAGAGTTCTGTGGCCTCTTGGATTGTCTGGGGGAGTCTTGGACCCGCAGCTGGAGCTTGGTCCCGTGTCCCCAGTGAGGACGGGGAATTGCAGGAGGGGCGCCAAAGCGGCATGCTGGGGGGCTGGGGCTGAGCTGGTCCCTGGGGACGCCCCGGCCTCCTCCCCTCCCCCTTCCTGTGCAGGTAAGAGTCAGGTCTGCAGCAACCCCTTTTCCCTAAACCCCAAGCTGGCGAGCTCTTGTAGGCAGGCAACTGTTGACAGATCAACTTTAAGCATTGGTACGAAAACACTAATTTCTTACTCATTCAGGCCATGAGGGGACGTCCCCGTCTGTCTGTCGGGCCACACAACGCACAGAAACGCGTTGGGTGGCTCTTACACGCACTTACAGCAACGCTATATGGGTGTTTACCCCAAATACAGTTCCCATGACTTTCTTTGGAATGCACCCTACGTCTAAGGGGACCCTTCCCCATGCTCCTCAGCTCGGGGGGGGGGGGTGGTACCTAAACCTGGGCGGCATACAATGCCATCGAAGGCATGGCAACTCACATGTCTTAAAAAGGAACTTAAAAAATCCGACCCACTTCTTGACACCTGCGCCAGTGCAGGGATGATGCGCAGCCGCTGCTGGAGACACTGGCACTCCTCCGCTCACTGGCCCCAGTAGCCAGGGGCGAAGGAATTTTACTCCGAGACATCTCAAGAGCTCTCGGCTGACCCGCTGAGGAAAAGACCAGCCCCTGCCCGGTCCCGCTCAGTTCAAACAGCACTGCTGAAGGAGAGAGGGGCAGATGAAACCTCCCCGGGCGCTGGAACGTGCGTGGCACCGTCCCCTCCCGGATCCATCTAGCCGGGTGCGGTTGACGTGGCCTGCGAGTGCACCGGGGTGTGTCCAGGGCTTTCCCCATCCCGGCTAGGGGTCCGGGGGGGGGGTGCGTGGGGGTCTCCCGCGTTAGCTGAGTGTGCCCGTGGCCGTGCCTGTCCCCGACACTGAGCAAGACAGTGTCGAAATGGCCCTCTCGAAATGGGCCCTCCAGCGAGGGGGCCTCTCAGCCGGGTGCGTGTGCGGGGGGCAGGCTGGCCTTTGCAGCGACGACCACGCGAACAGACCTGCCGCCTTAGTCCCCGGAAGCGCGTCGCAGCCATGCGATCCTGGCACGATCCCCAGCCCTGGTACAGGAGTTCAGCACCATGCACAAGCGTTCCTGGTCCAGACAAGCGCTCGAGCACAAAAACTGAAAAGTAACTCCACTGGTCTTTAATTCAATAAATATGTTTTTAAAAAGTTAACAGTTCTGAGAAAGAATAACCCTTTCCGGAATTAAATGATACATATTTCTGTTCCGTCCCAGATATTTACATGGCATGTCATAGTTCAAGACAGGGTGGGGAAGCTTCTGTGCGTATTAAAGTGCAGCGAGTCAGCAGCATGGTTGAAAAGGCAGCAACAAACATCCTTCTCCAGGCTGAAAACAGAAGCGCTTACCTCGTCCGGCTACCTTGGCCTTGGCCTACAGCCACTATGCTTCAGCTTATTTTACACACACATGCCTCTGGATGCGTAATTCTGGAGCGAGTGGAAACGACAGGCCCATTAAAGCCCCTGAGAACCCATCAGCAAGGATGCTGCAAGCACCCCTCCACCCGCCCCAGGCCCCGGTCCAGAGCACCCGCTTCCCAGGAACCGCCTCTGCACAAGCCGGGATGGAGCGGCACTCTCGCCCCCGCGTGCAAGTTTTGGGAAGGAGCCTTTCCCGTTTCTACCTGATGCAGCTCTCCTCCAGCAGCAAACAGGAAGCACGCTCAGGTGGGCCCACGTGCCCATTTCGTGGAAGGGGCCGACTCTTCCCAAGGCTAGTCAGCAACTCCACAGCGAAGCAGTGCTTTGGACTCAAGCCCAGCCTCGTTCGGCCATGCGTGCTGCATCGGGGGCTTCCGAAGACCCGAGGGACTTCGTACGCACCCTTTCCACCACCCCGCAGTCCCGGGGCAGCTCTTCCTGGGGACCAGAGAGCCCCTTCGGACCAGGCGCTGCTGGTGGGTTTCGCATGGCCATGCATTCGCCTGGGAGCCTTTCACAGCACCGCCCCATGGGCACGGCTGAAAGCTCCCCACCGTGCTGCCTGCGGGAGACGGCAGAGACACGGTTTCCCTCAGCGGCCGAGAAACATTCCGAGTCCTTCTCAAGCACCGAACGCAGAGCTCAGCTCGCGAATTCTACTGAGCGACCGGCTGCAGCTCAGAATAAAACCACGGTTTTAAACCATCAGTTTCTCTCCAAGCGCAAAGCAAAAGCGGCTAAACTATGCATCTATTGCTTCAGTCTCAGGAGCGGGACTGGACTATTGCTTTGGGAGCTCGGGGAAGTGAAGGATTAAAAAAATATAAACAGCTTCTTTTGGAAGAAAGCTCTACCGCAGGCCCCTCCCGCCCTCCGAGTCCTGGTAGCTCTCGCTTTGAAAGTCATTTGCCAAAAAGCACCTTTCAAACCGCATAACCTGTTTGCTCTAGAAGTCAGAGAAGAACTCTTGCGGGCCCAAGTGAATGATAAAAGGACCGACGCTGAGGGGCTGACAGTAAGTGTTGTCAATGAAAAGGCCACCTACAGCAGGAAAAAGGGCAGAGAAGCGAGAAAAAAGGCGCAGGTTAATTTTCAAAAAACGGATGTTCGGACGCCGCTGAAATTTCTTTGCTCTTTCAAGCTGTAAGTGGCATTTTCATTCCAAACTGGACATGTTTTTGGCGACTTAAAAAAACAAAACAAAACACACAATATATTGCATCACCCTATGGTTGCGACCTCCAAAAACTGGTCATCGATTTATATTTATATGCATTTGCAAAAACAATAGTTGATTAGGGTTTTCAGTAAAGCAGAGAAATGTAAAATATGCAGCAACAGGGCAAGGTTACGAACATGGTTAGTAACTCCCGACATGACAAAAATAAATGAAGAGGGCGGAAAAATGACGTCATACCAATTGTTGAACATGACCTGCCATCACGCTGGGAAGGGGCATAGCGGCGTGCCCAAGCGGGCCTGTCATGGCCGGCCGGCCAGGAGGGGCTCTCTCTGGCGAGCGAATCCTTGACAAAGTCGGCAGAATTTGTCTCTCATCTGCAGAATTTTGTGGCATTACCCAGGAAAAGTCTCCTCAATTTAGCAAGCCGCCAATTGCACAGAAAGACGTCGTATCAGAGGGCCTGATTCACCCATCAGCCATGCCTTTCCAAGCTCAGTGATGACTTCTTTTCACCCATAGGCCAGCTTGAGTCGGATTTAGGGGTGCTGTTCTCGCACCGAAGGCTCCCCACTCTGCCCCCGCCTTGGCAGAGGGCCTGTGTTCGGTTAAAGCACCACCACCGGAAGCGGAAGCAGAAGCAGGAGCACAAACCGAAACGGGTTTGCAGAATTGAAAGCTTGCATTTCAGGAAGCACAAATGATCTTGGAGTGCTCACCGCTGCTGCTTCCCGCTCCCTCGTTTCCCACCCAGAGCTGTGGGCAAGTCCAAGGAAAGCGGTGTGTTTATATACGCTGCCTCTCCGAAAACGCCTCCCGGGGATGGTACGCCCCACATGGGGGGGAACCGTCCCTCACTCAACTTCCCTTTACCCTCGCCCTGTTCTCCAAGACCCGCCTTGGCCCCCCGCACCCCAAAATCACCTGGAGCAGGAGCGCATATAAAGGCATCCGCCGGGCGCAGCACAAGAAGGTGAACCACAAATGGGTGACTTCAGAAGAGAAGAGCACAACAGGCCGTGCGGAGCTTTTGTGGAGGTGATGCCTTAAGAGCGACCCGGCATTCCTGTCCCCAAATCCTGCCTCTGAGAGTCGAGAGCCTTCCCGAGAACAGCACATGCACACGCCTGTCCCTGGATCTCACAAGCGGAGAAGCGGTGTGCGCCAGCGTGGCTCCCATCGTCAATTGCAAGCAGCTTTGCCCTTCTCTCCAATTTGAGACTGGCCTATGGCTGAAACGGCTAACTTTCCACAGCAGCACTGGACGAGACCAGGACGATTAAGGGAGCAAGTTTTCAATGGGGGACTGTGTTGCTGCTTTAGATTCTTCGAATTTTACAAGGCTGGGGGCCGGGCAGGAATGCAGAAAAATCCTTAAGTTTTAGCTCGGAAGAAGAAGGGGAAACGGAGTGGAAACACCCAATGTGCTACCAAATCCAAGACTGAGTGAAGGAGGCCACAAGAACGTGTGCTAATTTGATGGTTTAGCGGAGGCGGGTTTCTTTTTAAAAACCAAAAGAAAGCCCTGCAGAATTATTCTAACTAACTGTTGTACCAGCTTAACTGACTGTTTCTCTTACTGCATTACAAAGTTCCGGTTTATGGTCTGAGAACGTTTGGACAACCTGGTTTTGGAAAGGACCGTGTGCTTAGCTGTAAAAAGATGCATCTTTTCCTCTTTTATGTTATACCTGTCTTCCATACTGAACTCCTTTCCTGGTTCCCAAAGAAACCCAGAGTAAAAAAATAACTCGAGATGGGCAGCTGCACACGTCTACTTGTGAGAAAGACGGGGTGGCCCTGCTCCAATTCCAGAGGCATGCGTGCGTTTGTCTCAAGTAGACATGTGCCAGAGATACGGGAGCCTGCATGTGAGAAGCCCGTGAAATTTGCACAGGGAATTAAAGCT